CGCGCAGTGCCCGGGCCTGCAGGGGATGTGGGGCTAGGTGGCCCGAGTAGGCAGGTGCCCCCAGGCAGCAGGCAGGGCACCTTCGAGGCAGCTCTGCCTCCCCACCCACTGTGCTCCTGCCCTGGCCCAGGGCCAAGGGGTGGGGCTCGCTGTGGCTGCAGGGCAGAGGGCTGCCCTTATCAATGGGAAGTGGGACGTGGGTGCCCTTTGGGAATAATTGCAGGGCCAGCCACCTCAGCTCTTGTGGCTCCACCCAGGAAGCCTGCCCCTTCTGGCCCTGCTCTCAGGTGGAATTGCAGGGACTCCCTGGAAAGCTCTGCCTACTGCCTTATCTCCAAGCTGTGTATGTGTCCCTCACTGTTACTACCCCTGGTCAACCCTTACTTGGTCTTCTGGCCAGTTCAGCTACCACTTCGTCCTAGAAGCCTTCCGTGGTCCTCCCCCTTCCTCCTGCAGGGAGATTAAGTGCCCCTCAGTTCTCTCAAATACCCTCCCTTCCCCTGTCACACTCCATGCATTGTAGGTGCTTGTTTTCTTGGCTGCCCCAGGTTCCCTGTGATGCTGGCACATAGTAGAGACTGAATTGTAGAATATCAGAGGTGGAAGAGCCCCCAGACACCATCTGGCCCAGGTCCCTCTCTAACAGGCAAGAAGCCCAGAAAGGGGCAGGGTGTGCCCGGGGTCACACAGCACATTATGGCAGAACTGGGAGCAGACCCGATGTCTAAGACATGTCCTCATTTCACACCCCTGCCTCTTGCTTCTGAGCACGTTTTTTAAAAACACGTGTTTTCTTATATTCACAAAAATAATAAATGATTATTGTAGAAAATTTAGGAAACAAAGGCAAATAAAAATCAGAGATAATTGTTACCATTTTTGTTTTGTTTTTTGGATTAGTACCAGTTTCTGGCTTATGCATAAAATTTTTCACAAAAATATAACCATGCATACGGTCTTATAAATGTCTTCCACTTTAACAATATATTTGGTAATTATATTTCTTTCTTTTCTTTTTTTTTTTCTTTTTTATTTTTGGCTGCATTGGGTCTTCGTTGCTCCATGCAGGCTTTCTCTGCTTGCGGTGAGCGAGGGCTACTCTTCTTTGCGGTGCACGGGCTTCTCATTGCAGTGGCTTCTCTTGTTGCGGAGCGTGGGCTCTAGGCACGCAGGCTTCAGTAGTTGTGGCGCGTGGGCTCGGTAGCTGTGGCTCATGGGCTTAGTTGCTCTGCGCAGCATGTGGGATCTTCCTGGACCAGGGCTCGAACCCACGTCCCCTGCATTGGCAGGCAGATTCTTAACCACTGCGCCACCAGGGAAGTCCTGGTAATTATATTTCTATGTCAGTAAATGTCCTCCTTCAACATATTGTAAATGGCTGCCTGGGATTCCATCACATGCTTGCATTATAATTACTAAAGACAATCCCCTATGGTTGGGCATTTGCTATTATAAACAACGTCCTTTGCTGTTATAAACAGCACTGGGATTCGTATTCTTGTGGGGAAATCTTGACACACTTCTGCAATTATTCCCTGTAGGATAAGTTCCTAGAAGTACAATTGTAGGGTCTCTGGTATACTGTATCCATGCTAAGCATACCATATAGTCTTGGGCTGGGAGGGATTTTGAAGTTCTTCCCCCCAACCCCGACTCTGGGTCTGAGGTCCACTGAGGACTTCCCTCCCTGGCAGCAGTGCAGTCCCTCACACCTTCTGTCCTTGTCCCCATTTCCCATCTCCAGGGGAGCTCTTCTGCCAGCTTTCAGCAGCTGCCTCCACTCAGGTTAAAGGGAGACTGGAGGACCATGGTATAGGGGAGCGCTGTTTGGGTGAGGATGTTGGGCAACTTGGGATCCTCAGGTTGGGGGGTTCAGTCGCCTGCTGTCCTGTGCCACTGTGGACACGTACCCTGAGGATGAGAGATGCCTGTTGCATTAGGGGCAGATAGCGACAGCTGCGATTTCTTGAGTGTTGCTTATGCCGGGCTCCTCTGACAGGTTTACTCACTTATCCCGTGGCCCCAACCCGATGCTGCAGGGGTGGTGCTTTCCAGATGAGACCACTGGTGTTTGAGAGGGGCTCCTAGCACAGCCAAGCTGCTGATGCCTCACAGCCCTGAGTTTGAATCCTAGCCTGAGCCTTAGTCTTTTCGTCTGTCAGATGGGTCTGCTGGGTGCATTCAGAGAAATGGGTGGGGAAGCACGTGGGTAAGTGAGGGGAAGATGGTGAGAACGTGGTGTTGGGTCATGATTTAGAATTCCGCCTCTAGCTCCTAGGCCTTGCAAATGTTTATTGTCTCACTTTGTCTTTCCTGCTTCTGGAGTTTTCTTGGTTTAGTCTTGGACTGATCATTATGATAAATAGCAGCTATCACTGTAGACATCATATGCTAGGTACTGCCCAGTGTGATTTATACACATTAGTGGATGTAATCTCCCAGCCTCTTGTGAGGCAGGTACTGTTGTCAACAAATGCGGAGGCTGAGGCTCAGAGAGATTGACAAGCTTGCCGCAAATCATGAACTCAGGTTGGGTAGCGGTCATTGAATCTGGGCCCACCGCGAGGTCAGGACCTGTGGGTCCACAGCCAGCGGACCCCCGGAGCCCACACTCTGACTCTCCGCCTTGTGACTCTCCTCTCTCCACAGTCTTAGCCCCGGGGGCCCCACCGAGCGAGCGGCATGCGGCACCCCCAGACATGCCCAGCATCCTTCAGCCCACTGCCCAGCCCCCCCAGGAGGCCCTAACGCCCTGGGGCACTTCTGCTGTGCACAGGACCACGTGGGGGTTTGCCATGGTGACATAAAGGGGCGCAGAGGAAGGAAGGAGCGCAACCAGCCGCGGACTGCACCCCTGGCTGGGAGGAAGGGCCGGGGCCCGGATCCTCCGCTGCCACTGCCACTGCCACTGCCACTGCCACTGCCCACTTCGGGCCTTGCTCGCTGAGTCTCTGTGAACCTGTTGGTCGGTGGACAACTTGGGAGTCTTCTCCTGCGTGGGGCCTTGGGGCAGCCGGGGCGGCTGGGCCCCCGGTGGCCGAGGTCTCGGGGGCCAGGATGCCCACCCTGGCGCGCCTCCGCAGGCTGTGTCGGCACATGTCCCCGCAGGCTGTACTTTTCCTGCTGTTCGCCTTCTGCCTGTTCAGCGTTTTTGTCTCGGCCTACTACCTATATGGCTGGAAGCGGGGCCTGGAGCCCTCGGTGGACGCCCCCGAGCCTGACTGTGGGGACCCGCCGCCCGTGGCCCCCAGCCGCCTGCTGCCACTCAAGCCCATACAGGTGGCTGCCCCTTCCCGCACGGACCCGTTGGTGCTGGTGTTCGTGGAGAGCCTCTACTCCCAGCTGGGCCAGGAGGTGGTAGCCATCCTGGAGTCCAGCCGCTTCAAGTACCGCACGGAGATTGCACCGGGCAAGGGTGACATGCCCACACTCACTGACAAGGGCCGCGGCCGCTTCGCCCTCATCATCTATGAGAACATCCTCAAGTACGTCAACCTGGATGCCTGGAACAGGGAGCTGCTGGACAAGTATTGCGTGGCCTACGGCGTGGGCATCGTCGGCTTCTTCAAGGTACGTGGGGAGCGGGTCCCCGAGCTGTGGAGAGCTGCAGCTGAGTTTGAGTCTTATCCCCACGCTTGCTAACTGGGTGTCTGACTCTCCTCACCTGTAAGATGGGTGTAATGGTAACGCCTCCTCCTAGGTTGTCATGAAAGGTAAGTGGGTGAGTGTAGGTAAGGCACTTGGAGTGCCTGGTGCCTGGCGTCTAGCAGGTACTTTTTAAGTATTAGCTTTCATTGGGAGCACACGACAGGGGCATTGCCTTCCACGCATGGGGCCTGGCACATAGCAGGCTAGTAGCTAAGGGAGGCGCCAGCGATGGGTGCAAGGGGGGAGAGCATGCGCTCTGCTGGGTCCCTCGGAACTCTCCATGGCGGGTCTCCCCAGTGGATGAGGCGTGCCCCTGTTTTGCAGATGGGCAAACCAAGGCTCAGGAGGATTGAGTTAGGTCACAGGAGGCCATGTAGCCAGTAAGTGGGAGAGCCAGGGTCTGAACCCAGACTTAGACAGTTGGGGGCTCTGGGTCCTGTGCCCTTTCGTCTTGGCTGTGGAGGGGTGTGGCGTTTATGTACCTCTTGAACCAGAGCCATTTTGCGTTGGAAGAAAGAGGAGAAAGAAATCCCCAGTGGACCGGTGAGCCGCTCTGGGCTCCGTGGGGTACCCAGAGCAACTGCTAGGACCACAGTCCTTGCTGAAAGTGTCGTGGAGAAGCTGTCCTTGGGGATGAGGTTGTGAACAGCTGAATGGGGGATCCAGAGGCTCTAGTCAGAGAACTCTGACGCGCAAGCTGGGTGGTTGGGACTGTAGTCGGGTGCTTGGGGGTGTTTGTTCCATCATTCAGCAAATAGTGAGTGCTTACCATGTTCCAGGTCCTTCGCTAGGCACTGGGGACACAGTGGTTATCGAAGTGTGCAAAGTCCCGGCTGTGGTGCTGTGGACATTTCAGTGCAGTGGGTGACTAGACAGTGAACAAATAAACATACCATGTGACAGGTGGTGATAAGTACAAAAAAAAAAAAAAAAGAAAGAAAGCGGGGAAGGGCACTGGGTGATGGATATGGGCAGTTGGTGCTGGTTTTGATAGAACGCATTACCAGTGAGTGAAAAAAAAAAAAAAAAAAAAAAAAGAAAGAAAGCGGGGAAGGGCACTGGGTGATGGATATGGGCAGTTGGTGCTGGTTTTGATAGAACGCATTACCAGTGATGTCATCTTTGATAAAGTGACCAGAAGGGAGGGAGTGAGAGGAGCCCGTGGCTCTCTGTGCAAAGGGCCTTCCAGGCGGAGGGGACAGTAAACACACGGGTCCCAAGGCCGGCTCTTGCTTGGCGTGAGTGGGGAGAGGAGCAGGAGATGGGTCAGAAGTGGGCCGTGTCCACCGATGGCTGCTTGTTCGTCCCCAGGCGTTGGCGGCACAGCCTCGCCCTGGACCCGTGCTCCGTGCTGGGAGGAGCCTGGTCTAGCTGAGGGTTTCTCACGGCTGTGTTCTTTCATGCACTAATGGATCGGGTTGCTCTGCCACTAAAACAGGTTTTGTGGGCCAAGAAATTGAAGGCCCTTAGAAGTCCTGCAGTAGAGCAACCTGGTGAGATTTGTTGCCCAGCTGGCTTAATGACAAAACCCTTTATTTCATGGCTCACTGTCTGGGAAACGCTGGCCCGGTTTATGGCTGGGCAGTGGCATAGCGTCAGACAGCTTCATTGTCTGTTTCCCTTTGCTCCTGGACTCTGTTCCCTTTCCTGCCATGAACTTCATTAGGCTTGATTCAGAGCCCCAGGCCTGAAAAACATCACAATGGCTGACACTTGCCGAGTGCTTACCCAGTGCCACGCACGTCCTACGTGCTTGATGTGAATTAACACATTTGACCCTCATAAACCATCCTCCAAGCCAGGTGGATGTGATCTAAGAGAGAAGGAAACTGAGGCAAAGGGGGGTGAAGCAGTGTGCCCACACTCACACCTCTGATAAGCACAGACCTAGGATTTGAGGCCAGGTGGTCTGGCTCCAGAGGCTTTATTCCTACACTGTGGGATGAGGCCAGGAACTTCAAGTAACATTTATTCTATTTAGTAGAATTTGCATCAGAGGCCACAACTGGTGCACAGAGCTCCCACAGTCTGTGGGGACCAAGCAGTAGGCTGTGGTCATTGGGCACAGTCGGTACAACATAGCTTGGATCCTATCAGGCCCCAGTTCCTTGCTCTACAGAAGGTGAACACGAGGCCCAAGGAGGGGCAGGGAGGTGCTCAGAGCATCCCTGTGGGGTCAGTGGCATTTGCAGGTCTTCTCGCTCTTCCTACCCTGCTGTGTAAGACAAGACCCCTCCTTGGTTTTGATCAGGGGCCTGTGACTTTCTGCTCTAACGGGAGCCATCTGGTGGTCAAGCTGCATCCTTCTGCTCTTCTGCAAGGCCTGCTTCAATGCTGTGCATCGGGCTTGGGACTCCAGGGATCTGGAGACACTCACTTTCCAATGCCCGCTGGCACTGGATTCCCAGGTCAGTGGGAGAGCAGGGGCTGAAAAGTCCAACTTGTTCTGTCACTTATAGGCAGAGTGACCTTGGGCAGGATATTCAACCCATCTGTGAAGTGGGGGCCAATCACAGCACCATCTCACTGTGCCATGTTGAAGACAGGACAGTGGATGGGAAGCATTAGCCCAGCGCCTGGTACCCAGAGCCACCCAACAAATGGCAGCTGGCATGCCTTGTCATCTCACCTCAGCACACACAGCTGGTGGTAGCTCTTCATCTGTCTTGTGGCTTGGCCAACATGTGCCCCTGAGGACCCTGAGGGTGGGAGCCGGTCTTCATCAGCAGCCCCATTTCCTGGCTCAGCCTTGCAGCTCCAGGTGCCCTGGGGTTGAGCACATCCTGTTAGAGGCCTGACCAGGGCCACTGATGCTTGATTGCACACTCGCTACATGCCAGACCCTGAGCTCATTGCTTTGCAGACCTTATCGTATGTAATTCTCACAGCTACCCTGTGAAGTGGGCACTTTATTTTCAGGTGAGGAATCAAGGCTCAAAAAGTTATGTGGCTCTCTAGACCGACACACCTAATAAGTCAGAGCCAAGATTCGACCACCACGCTCAGCCTTTCTAAGCCAACCACGGGTGAGCGTGTGAGAGCAAACTGACCGATGGATGTGGGACGTGAGGCCCTGAGAGGTAGCACCTTGGGGACCCCAAGGTTCCCAAGGTCATGCAGCCAGTTGCTACCTAAGTCTGTACTAGGTCTCCCATTCCCTGATCAGGGCTCTTCCTTCCTCTGCCTGATGACCCCACTGGAAGATTTGGTGTCTCCTGCGTGGGTCCCCAGCGCCGAACAACAGGAGGGATTCCCCTCCCATGGGGCGAGGCCCGCAGTGGGGGGTCAGTCTCTGCGATGCTTAGGCTTACTCTCCATTCCCTTCCCCAGATGGTTGCTTTCACTGCAGACTGCGGTGGACAATCGGCAACTTGGCTTTCTCCCTTCCTTGATGCCTCCCAGCTGGGCAGCTGGCTGAGCTGCCAGCGCCTGGCAGTCAGCTCAGAATCGGGGCTTTGAAATGGGATCCCTCAGTGCCTGTGATCCAGTGTGGCCTCCCAGGCCACAGCAGGTGATGGACAGGGCCTGAAATGTCGCTGGCCCCCACTGCCTTTGTCCCCAGTGCTGGCTTAGTGGTCTTGGGGAGCTGGGGGCTGAGGGAGGGGCCTCTCAGTTTGGGGCTGTCAACACCAGAGGCTGGCTCAGGACAGGGTGGGAGTTGGCAGGTACTCCTGGTGTGTGGAGAGTCAAATGCAGCCCTTTATCTCAGTTTACGAGGCAGGGGCCCTGCAGAGCCTTCGTGGAAATTAGAAAAAAAGCACTTCTGCATGAAGGTTATTACTAAAAGGCACCCTGGGCAGATGTCGCTCGACTTGAGGCCCAGGGCTCAGCCCTCAAACTGAGTGTCCTTGTTCAGTGCTCACGTGGTGAGCTCTCCAGGGTGGCTCTGTGTACCACTCTGCCTGCCTCTCCAACCTCATTTGCTGCCCTTTGTCCACTCTTGATTCATCCCACCCCACTCATTCTTCACACAGTGGCCAGATGGATCTTTTTAACATGCAGATTGGAACCTGTCATCCCTCTGTTCAAAACCCTTTGATGGAGTCTTTGATGGCCTCCCACTGCCACTTCAAGCCTCTAGGGTCCTGCAGGTCTGGTCCCAGCTGACCCTTCTGCCTCATCTCCTCTCCTCTCTCTTGATCACTCTGGTGGCCTCTTGATATTCCTTGACTGTGCTGAGCTCTCTCCAACCTCAGGGCCTTTGCACTTGCTGTTCTTTGAACTTGGCTCCCACCTCTCCCCTAGTTGATGCTTACTCAGTCCCTTTCTCCAGGAAGCCCCTCTTGAGCCAGCTGACTGTGCCCAGTCATCTACTCTTCTAGGACTATGAACCTCCTCTGTGTAGCATGTGTCACATTGAAGTTTACGTATATTTCTGCTATTTTGATTACTCTCTCTCTTCTCTGCTCGCCTTTACAGTTCACAAGGGCAGGAGCCATGTCTGTTTTTCTCACTGTATCCCTGTTACTTAACACAGTGCCTGGCATAGTGAACAATTGTGAGATAAACAAATGAAACCCGTAACGAAAAGCTGTCACGTGCCAGGTATTTGGGATCTGTCTGTTCTTTCTTTTTAAAAATCCAGTTACTCATCCGATACGCGTTTGCTCCCACTGGGTGTCAAGCCTGTGCTGGCACCAGGGATCCAAGGTGGAAGTGACATAGTACTTGCCCTTGAGAGGGTGCAGACTGGTGGGGGAGACTCTGAACAGATAATGCAGCAGACAAGGTGAGAAGTGCTACAGCTGAGGCTTTAATGCCCCAGGGAGGCCAATGAAGAGAAGAGGGTAGATGCATGTTTTCTTCCTTCCTTCCTTCCTTCCTTCCTTCCTTCCTGCATGTGAGCTTGGGCGGGGGCTGATCTGCATTGCTATGCGCGGGCTTCTCATTGCCATGGCTTCTCTTGTTGCAGAGCATAGGCTCTAGGTGCTCGAGCTTCAGTAGTTGTGGCATGCGGGCTCTAGAGCGCAGGCTCGGTAGTTGTGGCGCACAGGCTTAGTTGCTCCGCGGCATGTGGGATCTTCCCGGACCAGGGCTCAAACCTGTGTCCTCTGCGTTGGCAGGTGGATTCTGAACCACTCTGCCACCAGGGAAGTCCTGATGCGTGGGGTTTTGAAGGATGAGCAGTTTGTCAGGCCAAGAAGACCAAAAGGAGTTGGCACAGGGACAAGGACAAATTGTACTGTATCCAGAGGCAGGTGGCTGGGAGGGTGAGGGATAAGGAGCAGGGGCTGTGAGTCTAGGGAAGAGGAAAAGCGGGTGCTGTGGGTACTGCCTTCAGGTTCCCAGGGAGCTGGCAGCAGCAGGTCCTGGGAGGAGAGGAGGCACAGGGAGCTGGGCTCCTCTGGGGAGTAGCCTTGGGAGTGCCGGGGGCACATGGGGGTTGGGAGCACAGTGGGCAGAGTGTCTGCTCCTGCACTCCCAGAAGATACCTCGTCTTTGATCTCTTCTTTGTTGGCATCTGCCCAGGATTTCTCCTGAAGAAAGGATTGTGACAGAAGCCAGATTGGAAACCCCAGGCAGGGGAGCCTGGTGGTTAGGTGTGTGGGCTCAGGGGTCAGCCATCTGGCTGTGAGGTGTGGCTCGTCCTGACCACCGTGCGACTCAGGGCAGCACCGCCCTCAGAGCCTGGGTGTCCTTGTCTGTGAAGCGGGGATGACAGAGGAACCCTCCTCCTGAGGCTGATGTGAGGACTGAACGAGCAATGGGTGATGCCGCTGGCTGTGTTCTAAGCACTTTGCGGGAGTCAACGCTCAGCCTCCTCCATCACCCCTTGAGGGATTTACCATTCTTGGCCATGTTTTACAGCAGAGGAAACTGAGGCGTGGGGAGGTTACCTGACTTGCCCAAGGCCACGCAGTCTGGTGGCAGAATCCATACTCTCCACTGCTAGACTTTCCTGTGTGTGATTTTGGACAAGTTACTTAGCCTTTCTGGGCCTAGTCTCCTTGTCTGTATAATGGGAATGGCAGTGATGCCTCCATCGTGGGGTCACTGTGAGGATTACGGCACCCCTTCATGTAAAGTGCACGAGCTTGGTTCCTGGCTTTGGTGAGCACGGCATGTGTGTTAGCTGGTATGTTACAATGACAGGCAGAGCGGGGTTTGCACCGCTAGGTCAGCACAGGATCAGGAATGTGACGAGCCCTCTGTGAATGTTAGTGAGTACTGTTGACATGACTGTTGTTATGAGTCCACGACTGATACTCCGTGGTCCCTTGGGGCTGTGGTTCTGACGGCTCTCTTCCTGCCCCACCCCACCCGGCTGCAGGCCAATGAGAACAGCCTGCTGAGCGCGCAGCTCAAAGGTTTCCCCCTGTTCCTGCACTCCAACCTGGGCCTGAAGGACTGCAGCATCAACCCCAAGTCCCCGCTGCTGTACGTGACGCGGCCCAGCGAGGTGGAGAAGGGCGTGCTGCCGGGTGAGGACTGGACCGTATTCCAGTCGAACCACTCCACCTACGAGCCTGTGCTCCTGGCCAAGACGCGGTCGTCCGAGTCCATCCCGCACCTGGGTGCGGATGCCGGCCTTCACGCCGCGCTGCATGCCACTGTGGTCCAGGACCTGGGCCTCCACGACGGAATACAGCGCGTGCTGTTCGGCAACAACCTCAACTTCTGGCTGCACAAGCTCGTCTTCGTCGACGCCGTGGCCTTCCTCACAGGCAAGCGCCTCTCGCTGCCTCTGGACCGCTACATCCTGGTGGACATTGATGACATCTTTGTGGGCAAGGAGGGCACGCGCATGAAGGTGGAGGACGTGAAGGTATGGCTGGGGGCGCCAGACCGTGTAGGGTGGGCCTCGCCACCTTCAGACCTTACTGTCCCCATCGTGACTTTGCTGTCTGCACCTCCTCTGTGCTGTCAGTCCCCCTCCCTTGGCCACTTGGTTTTATTGTCTTATTAGAAGCAAGTGCCATTTAAAATTATTTGAAGTATTGAATATACAGGAATTTTGCATCTGGTTATATGGAGCTCAAGAATATAACTACGGAGAGATGGTAGCTGTGCAGAGAGTACCTACCTCTTAATCCAGACATGATTTTTTTTATTTTTTTTTTTTGCGGTACGCGGGCCTCTCACTGCTGTGGCCTCTCCCGTTGCGGAGCACAGGCTCCGGACGCGCAGGCTCAGCAGCCATGGCTCACGGGCCCAGCCACTCCGCAGCATGTGGGATCTTCCCGGACCAGGGCACGAACCCATGTCCCCTGCATCGGCAGGCGGACTCTCAACCACTGCGCCACCAGGGAAGCCCCAGACGTGATTTTTAACTCTCAGAAATGTTTGTGTCAGTACCAAAGCTCCTACAAAACTCATGAAACAAGAATTAGAGTGTGAATCCCATACAAGGCATACTTTAACTGCAGTCTGTATAGATAGTGAAAGGCATGTGCTTAATTCAAAAAATGTTTACCAAACTAAACTAACTGTATGTACAAGCATTTTGCAAACCATGAAACTTTACACATGTATCACTATAAAAGAGAAGCCTGCAAATTAAGACCATTTTCATCTACTCACTACTTTACTCAGAGTTGTATGCAAAAGGAGCAACATCACTAGTGTAAATGGGGAAGTCAGTATCAGTTGCCAAAAATAGAGGGCAACCATAACAATAGATCCAATGAAAGCGGAAACAGGGGATTAAATTCTAGCGAATTACTGCTGCCTACTGATGACCTGTCCCCTCTTATACGAGATTAGTGAGAGTTAGAAACGTATTAGCACCAAACCAAGACTTCTTTTTGACGATAGGAGGAGGATTGAAAAAGAGACTTAATTAAGAGGAATGCTTTCCTCCGTGTGGGTGCTGTGTTGGGATTGGCCGTGGGTCCTGGAAGGAAGGCCCTGGGCTGGGGCAGGGGGCGGGGTCCATCGTCCTCCTGCCTTTGTCTAGAGTGAACTCTCTGCTCCTCCGTACACCTCCAGGGGAGAGCAGAGCAGATGCTGCTGAGGAGCAGGCACTGTCTGGGGAGTCAAGACCTGGGTTCCAGTCCCAATCTGCCCCTTAACTGACTGGGTGACTTGGGCAAGTCCCTTCCGCTGTCTGAGCTTCAGCAGTGAAATGACAAGATGGGGTGGATGGGAAGGACCTGGATGGCTGGGGTGAGGGGGCATGTGCAGATGCCAGGCTCTGAGCCCTCCCGGCTCTACCTCTGGGACAGAGCAGTGTTGCTTTGATCTGCTTTACCCATTGGGTTTGCTCCTGAGATTTCACTTCCTCAGGGGCTCCCCTATTGAAAGAAAGTTTTGAGACGACTCCTGTTGAGCCTTCCAGCTCTGAGGCTTCATGCAATGCCCCGACCCACCTCTAGCAAAGTAGATTACTCCGTTTTCTCCTTAGGACGTTCTTCAGGTGGCCCAACCTTGCTCTCTCCTGCTGTAACCTAGGTCTTTGCTTCCTGTCCAGGATGAGTCCTTGAGACTGGTCCAGGGTCGACCCCATGAGGAAATCAGGCTGCCAGCCTCACTGTGTCTCCTGTGAACCCTGGGCTTTGCCCTTCTTGGTTCTTACTTTCCCCATTGTTGGAATGATAGGAATGCTAGCAGTTTGGAGCCTTTTCTGTAGAAGAATACCCAAAGAGATGCCCTCTTCAGTGTACTTAGCTCAGTGCAGGCTGTAGAGCTCTATGCCAGCCAGGTCCCATTTGCTTTAATCATCCTTTTGAGTCAGAAAGGGAGGTTTTTTTTTTTTTTTTTTTTTTTTGCTTTAATCCCAAGGACTGGCTACAACTGAGCTTTTCTTGCAGAGACATGAATGTTGCCTCATTAACTTGTACAGTACGGGCTGTACAGTGCAACTTAAATGATACCAACAGCAGTGCTTATTCAAGGCTTGGCAAGTGCCAGGCTCTGTGCTCAGCCCTTTCTGTGCATTGCATCATCTGATCCTCACAGCAGCTCTGTGAGGTGGATATTGTTTTAAATCCCATTTTACAGAGGTGGACACTAAGACTCAGAGAGGTGAAGTAACTGGCCCAAGGCCACACAGCTAGAGCATGGACGTCCACCAGGTAGTGCATGGCCTTGTTAAGATGCCGGTGGTGGCCCCAAGGAGGGCCAGGACTTTTTGTTTGCAAAGTGTTCTGATAGCGGGCTCTTCTTACAGGTTTCCTAGCAGCCTTGTGCATCATACCTGGTAGGGATTTTTTTGAGTCCTGACTCCAGAGGACAACTGTATGTTTGTTTCACAAGTGTCAGCATCCCTTCATTGACTTGCAAAGCACTGGGTGCACTGTGCGTGGAAACACTGCATTGCTGGGCACACAGTACGTCTCTGGAAAAGTCGTGGTCCTTTGACATCAGCCTTGCAGTCACCAACGAGGTGAAATCTCCCACATTTGACAGATGAAGACATGAGGCTCACAGTGGCAGTGACCACAGACATGATAATGGAACTATTTTTCATCACTTACCAAAATGCCAGGCTGTTTTACATGCAGTATCTCATTTAATCCTCCCAAGAGCCCCATGAGGGAGCTATTATTATCCCTATTTCACACCTGGGGAAACTGGGGCCTGGAGAATTTGCATAGCTTTCTCAAGGGCATGGCAGAACCAGGCTAGAGTCTATGTCTTGTCTTGCCAGAGGCCTGGTGGAGGTGGCAGCACAGGGCTGGCTTCGTGGGTATGGCACCTGTATAGTCACACAGGGCCCCATGCTTGGAAGGGGCCCATTCAAGATAATGCTCTGCTATTTCCTTCTTGACATTTTCAACAGTCTTTGAGCAAGGGTCCCTATTTTCATTTTTCTATGGGCCCTGCCAGCTTTGTAGTTGGTCCTGCAGGAGCAGGACCCTTATGGGAGGAGCGGGGAACTTCTGGCTTCCCCTCACCCCTTTCTCCCCACTCTGCCTATCCTAGGCCCTATTTGATACGCAGAACGAACTACGGACACACATCCCAAACTTCACTTTCAACCTGGGCTACTCAGGGAAATTCTTCCACACAGGTAAGTGGGCCTGGCTCTGCCCCCACTAGCAACTTCCAGGGGCCCTCAACATCCAGACCCTCGGAGTGCTATGCCATGGGGTCAGCAGGTGGGCGGATGGGCCCACTTAGGGCCACGTTTGACCTCTGTGGCCTCTCCCAGAGCCAGACGGCCCACAGAGCAGTCGCAGCCCCAGGTAGAGGGCATTTGGAGACAGCAGTGCCACGTGATGGCCTCCACTCCTCTGTCGCCGGGCCTCAGGCTCTGCTGTTCAGGGGGTGGGGGCATCTCCTCCCTCTTGCCTCCCTCTCACCACCACCTTTTAGTATTCTTTGTACTCCTTCAGCCTTAGAAAGGAATTGGTTGAATTTTAAGAATCTTACAGAAATATGTAGCAGAGAAAATGAAAGTGCCCTAGAACTGTACCCACCCCAGAGATGAGCACTGTCACGAGTTTTTCTTTCTTGAGTATAGTTAATTTACAATGTTGTGTTAGTTTCAGGTGTACAGCAGAGTCATTCAGTTATACATATATTTATTCTTTTTTAGATTCTTTCCTCACATAGGTTATCACAGGATTTATTTTATTTTATTTTTTTTGGCTGTGCTGCCTGGCTTGTGGGATCTTAGTGCCCTGACCAGGGATTGAACCCAGGCCCTCAGCAGTGAAAGTGTGGAGTCCTAAACACTGCACCACCAGGGAATTCCCTCATCACAGACTATTGAGTAGAGTTCCCTGTGCTATTCAGTAGGTCCTTGTTGGTTATCTATTTTATACATGGTAGTGTATGTTAATCCCAAGCTCCTGATTTATCCTTCCCCACCATGTTTCCCCTTAGGTCACCATAAGTTAGGTAACCATTTTTGATATCTGTCTGTTTCTGTTTTGTAAATAAGTTTATTTGTATCATTTTTTAAAAAGTTAGCTTCCACATATGAGTGATATGATATTTGCCTTTCTCTGTCTGGCTTAGTTAGTATGATAATCTCTAGGTCCATCCATGTTGCTGCAAATGGCATTATTTCATTCTTTGTTATGGCTGTGTAATATTCCACTGTATATATGTACCACATCTTTTTTATCCATTTGTCTGTTGATGGACATTTAGGTGGCTTCCGTGTCTTGGCTGTTGTAAATAGTGCTGCAGTGAACATTGGGGTGTGTGTATCTTTTCAAATTACGGTTTTCTCTGGATATATGCCCAGGACTGGGATTGCTGGATCATATAGTAGTTCTATTTTTAGTTTTTTAAGGAACCTCCGTACTGTTTTCCATAGTGGTTGTACTAATTTACATTCCCACCAACAGTATAGGAGGGTTCCCTTTTCTCTGCACCCTCTCCAGCATTTATTATTTGTAGACTTTTTTTTGGTTGCACTGCATGGCATGTGGGATCTTAGTTCCCTCATCAGAGATTGAATCCACATCCCCTGCATGGGAAGCACAGAGTCTTAACCACTGGACCCCCAGGGAAGTCCCTGTTTGTAGACTTTTTGATGATGGCCATTCTGACCAGTGTGAGGTGATACCTCATTGTAGTTTTGATTTGCATTTCTCTACTAATTAGTGATGTTGAGCATCTTTTCAAGTGCTTTTTGGACTTCTGTATATCTTCTTTGGAAAAATGTCTATTTAAATCTTCTGCCCATTTTTTGATTGAGTGGTTTGCTTTTTTGACATAGAGCTGCCTGAGCTGTTTTGTGTATTTTGGAGATTCATCCCTTGTCAGTCACTTCCTTTGCAAATATTTTCTCCCATTCTGTGGGTTGTCTTTTCATTTTGTTTATGGTTTCTTTTGCTGTGCAGAGCTTTTAAGTTTAATTAGGTCACATTTGTTTATTTTTGTTTTTATTTTCATTACTCTAGGAGGTGGATCAGAAAAGATAGTGCTGTGATTTATGTCAAAGAGTGTTCTGCCTATGTTTTCCTCTAAGAGTTCTATAGTGTCTGGCCTTACATTATTTGATCCATTTTGAGTTTATTTTTGTGTATGGTGTTAAGGAATGTTCTAATTTCATTCTTTAACATGTAGCTGTCCAGTTTTCCCAGCACCACTTATTGAAGAGACTGTCTTTTCTCCATTGTATATTCTTGTCTCTTTTGTTATAGATTAATTGACCATAGGTGCATGGGTTTACTTCTGGGCTTTCTGTCCTGTTCCATTGATCTATATTTCTGTTTTTGCACCAGTAGCATACTGTTTTGATTACTGTAGCTTTGTAGTATAGCCTGAAGTCAGGGAGCTTGATGCCTCCAGCTCCGTTTTTCTTTCTGAGGATTGCTTTGGCTATTTAGGGTCTTCTGTTTTTCCATAGAAATTAAAAAAATTTTTGTTCTAGTTCTGTGAAAAATGCCATTGGTAGTTTGATAGGGATTGCATTGAATCTGTAGATTGCCTTGGGTAGTATAGTCATTTTGACAATATTGATTCTTCCAATCCAAGAACATGGTATATCTTTCCATCTGTTTGTGTCATTTTCAATTTCTTTCATCAGCATCTTATAGTTTTCAGAGTACAGGTCTTTTGCCTCCTTAGGTACTTTTATTCCTAGGTATTTTATTCTTTCTGATGCAATGGTAAATGGGATTGTTTCCTTAATATCTCTTTCTTTTTCGCCACGCCATGCGGCATGCGGGATCTTAGTTCCCTGACCAGGGATCGAACCTGTGCCCCCTGCATTGGAAGCATGGAGTCTTAACCACTGGACTGCCAGGGAAGTCCCATTAATTTCTCTTTCTCATCTTTTGTTGTTAGTGCGTAGTAATGTAAGAGATTTCCCTGTATTAATTTTGTATCCTGCAACTTTACCAAATTCATTGATGAGCTCTAGTAGTTTTCTTGTATCATCTTTAGGATATTCTGTGTATAGTATCATGTCATCTTCAAACAGTGACATGTTTACTTCTTCTTTTCCAATTTGGATTCCTTTTATTTCTTTTTCTTCTCTGATTGCCGTGGCTAGGACTTCGAAAACCATGTTGAATAAAAGGTGGACATCCTTGCCTTGTTCCTGATCTTACAGGAAATGCTTTCAGCTTTTCACCATTGAGAATGATGTTAGCTGTGGGTTTGTCATATATGGCCTTTATTATGTTGGGGTAAGTTCCCTCATGCCTACTTTCTTGAGAGTTTTTATCATAAATAGGTGTTGAATTTTGTCAAAAGCTTTTTCTGCATCTATTAAGATGATCGTATGATTTTTATTCTTCAGTTTATTAATGTGGTGTATCACATTGATTGATTTGCAGATACTGAAGAATCCTTGCATCCCTGGGATGAATCCCACTTGATCATGGTGTGTGATCCTTTTAATCTGTTGCTGGATTCGATTTGCTAGTATTCTGTTGAGTATTTTTGCATCTATGTTCATCAGTGATATTGGCCTTTAATTTTCTTTTTTTGTGGTATTTTTGCCAGGTGTTGGTATCAGGGTGATGGTGACCTCATAGAATGAGCTTGGGAGTATTCCTTCCTGTGTAATTTTTTGTAAGAGTTTCAGAAGGATAGGTGTTAACTCTTCTCTAAATGTTTGATAGAATTCACCTGTGAAGCCATCTGGTCATGGACTTTGGTTGGGAGTTTTTTAGTCACTGTTTCAATTTCAGTACTTGTGATTGGTATGTTCATATTTTCTATTTCTTCCTGGTTCAGTCTTGGAAAGTTGTAGCTTTTTCAGAATTTTTCCATTTCTTCTAGGTTGTCCATTTTATTGGCCCATAGTTGCCTGTAGCATTGTCTATGATCCTTTGTATTTCTGTGGTGTCCAGTGTAACTTCTCCTTTTTCATTTCTAATTTTATTGATTTGAATTCTCTCCCTTTTTTTCCTGATGAGTATGGCAAAAGGTTTATCAATTTTGTTTATCTTTTTAAAGAACCAGCTTTTAGTCTCATTGATCTTTTCTATTGTTTTCTTTGTCTCTATTTCATTTATTTCTGCTCTGATCTTTATGGTTTCTTTTCTTCTACTAACTTTGGGTTTTCTTTGTTCTTTCTCTAGTTGCTTTAGGTGTAAGGTTAGGTTGTTTATTAGCCTATTAATCTCTGAATAACCTTTATTCAGAGATTTTTCTTGTTTCCTGAGGTAAGATTGTATTGCTGTAAACGTCCCTCTTAGAACAGCTTTTGCTGCATCCCATAGGTTTTGGACTGTTGTATTTTCATTGTCACTTGTCTCTAGGTATTTTTTGATTTCCTCTTTGACTTCTTCAGTGATCCGTTGGTTGTTTAGTAACATACTGTTTAGCCTCCATGTGTTTGTGTTTTTTAAAGTTTTTTTTCCTGTTATGAATTTCTAATCTCATAGTGTTGTGGTCAGAAAAGATGCTTGATGTGATTTCAATTTTCTTAAATTTACCAAGGCTTGATTTGTGGCCCAAGATGTGATCTATCCTGGAAAATGTTCCACGTGCACTTGAGAAGAAAGTGTATTCTGCTGCTTTCAGATGGGATGTCCTATAAATATCAGTTAAGTTCATCTGGTCTAAGGCTTGTGTTTCCTTGTAGATTTTCTGTCTGGATCATCTGTCCATTGGTGTTAGTGGGGTGTAAAGTCCCCTACTATTATTGTGTTACTGTTCATTTCCCCTTTTACGGCTGTTAGCATTTGCCTATGTACTGAGGTGCTCCTATGTTGGGTGCGTATATATTTACAATTGTTATATCTTCTTCTTGGATTGATCCCTTGATCATTATGTAGTGTCCTTCCTTGTCTCTTGTAAGAGTCTTTATTTTAAAGTCTATTTTGTTTGACATGAGTATTACTACTCCAGCTTTCTTTTGATTTGCATTTGCATGGAATATCTTTTCCTGTCCCCTCGCTTTCAGTCTGTCTGTGTCCCTGTGTCTGAAGTGGGTCTCTTGTAGACGGCATATATATGGGTCTTGTTTTTGTATCCATTCAGCGAGCCCATGTCTTTTGGTTGAAGCATTTAATCCATTTAATTTAAGGTAATTATTGAAATGTATGTTCCTATTGCCATTTTGTTAATTGTTTTGGACTTGTTTTTGGAGGTCTTTTTTCTTCCCTTCCTCTTTTGTCCTCTTCTCTTGTGATTTGATGTCTATCTTTAGTATTTTTGTGTGTGTGTGTCTGTTGTAGACTTTTGGTTTGCAGTTCCCATGAGGTTTTGATATAGCAGACTATATACGTACAAGATCGTTTTAAGTTGCTGGTCTCTTAATTTCCAATGCATTTCCAATATCCTGCATTTGTACTCTCCTCATGATCGCTGGTTGTGATATCATATTTGTGTGTGGATGATTTCCTACCTTTACTTTATGTTGCCTTTACTGGTGAGCTTTCCTATTTGTAATTCTCTTGATTCTAGTTGTGGCCTTTTCTTTTCTGCCTAGAGAAGTTCCTTTAGGATTTGTTCTAAGGCTGGTTTGGTGGTGCTGAATTCACTTTGCTTTTCCTTGTCTGTAAAGCTTTGATTTCTCCATCAAATCTGAATGAGAGCCTTGCTGGGTATTCTTGGTTGCAGGTTTTTCCCTTTTACCACTTTAAATATATCGTGCCACTCCCTTCTGGCCTGCAGAGTTTCTGCTGAAAAATCATCTGATGACCTTTTGGGGATTCCCTTGTAGGGTATTTGTTGCTTTTCCCTTGTTGCTCTTAATAATTTTTCTTTGTCTTTAATTTTTGTCAGTTTGATTAATATGTGTCTCGGCATGTTCCTCCTTGGGTTTATCTTGTATTGGACTCTCCGCATTTCCTGGACTTGAGTGACTGTTTCCTTCTCCTGTTAGGGAAGTTTTCTGCTGTAATATCGTCATATATTTCCTCAGGCCCTTTCTCTCTCTCTCCTCCTTCTGGGACCCCTATAATGCAAATGTTGGTGCATTTAATGTTGTTCCAGAGGTCTCTGAGACTGTCCTCATTTCTTTTCATTCTTTTTTCTTTATTCTGTTCTGTGGCAGTGATTTCCACCATTCTGTCTTCCAGCTCACTTATTCATTCTTCTGCTTCAGTTATTCTGCTGTTGATTCTTTCTAGTGTATTTTTTCATTCCAGTTATTGTATTCTTCATCTCTTGTTTGTTCTTTAAATCTCTAGCTCTTTGTTAAACATCTCTTGTATCTTCACAATCTGTGCTTCTATTTTTTTTCCAAGATCTTGGATCATCTTTACTATCATTACTCTAAATTCTTCTTCAGGTAGGTTGCCTGTCTCCATTTCATTTAATTGTTCTTGTGGGTTTTTATCTTGTTCCTTCATCTGGAATGAGTTTATTTTTTATTTTTGAGTCTTAAGGGTTGAGGTTGAAGGCTCAGGGTTGCCTGGTTCATACTTTCCCTCCTCTTGGGGGCTTTCCCAAGGTCCTCACAAGCTTCCCCTTGGGACTGGGCAGAAGGGAACAGCCTCTGAGTAGTCATCTGTAGTGAGCATTCCCTCGAGCTGCCTTTTGCGTGGGCCACAGTGAGGACAGCCTCTCTTGAGTTCTAGGCAAACCCTATTAGTCTGCAGTTCTGGGAGGAAAGTCTGCAGCATAGCTCCAAAGCCCAATAAGAGCAACACTTGGTTGTCTGGGTGTATTTTTATATTCTTAACCCTTAGCATATCAGATGTAGTTGTAGTGATATACACAAGACAGGGTTAAACATCTTGTACATATACAAAGAGCATCTACAAGTCAATAAGTAAAAGACAAATGACCCAGTAGAAAAATAGGAATAGGATCAGAGCAGGCAAGTCAGAGCTAGAAGAAAGCATTAGGATCATTGCCTCTGAACTGCATATTGCATAGACAGGTCCCAAGGGCCAGAGATGGGGAGTACTTGGCCAAAGTCACCCACTGAGTCAAGGCCATACCCGAATACAGGGCCCTGGACTGGGGCTCTATCTGCCCCACACTGTAGCTCACGGAACTGCTCTAAGCAGCCCTCAGGTGGGCTGTGGCCGTGCACACCCATCGCCGGGCCTGATGGCAGGTGGGCTGGGCTGAGCTGCCTGTGCTCGGGCTGTAGGTACTGATGCTGAGGACGCGGGGGACGACCTGCTGCTGTCGTACGTGAAGGAGTTTTGGTGGTTCCCCCACATGTGGAGCCACATGCAGCCCCACCTTTTCCACAACCAGTCCGTACTGGCTGAGCAGATGGCCCTGAACAAGAAGTTCGCTGTCGTGAGTAAGATTCCCTACAGGGCAGAGCCGGGAGGGCTCGGGGCTGGGCTGGGGGTCAGAACTACTGGCCTTGTGCTGCTTTTGCAGTTCGTCTGACAGCTTTTTATTAACATCTTTATAGCTGCTGTCTCATTGAAGCCTCACAGGGATCCCAAGAGGCCGGTATCTCAATAGCCTCATTTTAAACAAGAAACTGGAGCTCTGGGAAGCCACACCAGCTAATAAGAGGTCCGTGCAGGACTTAAACCCAGGCCTGTTTGCTTCCTGAGCCCAAGCTCTCATCTTCAGGCTAGAGTGGGTACCCCAGAAGGCTGCAGGAGATGCCCAGCAAGGAGGGGATGAAGCCTGCTTGCTGGCTCAGCCTGAGCCACCAGCCAGTCAGAGGCCAAGAGAGGCAGGAACAGCACCCGTCCTTGTTCCTCACTCCTGGTGCTGGAGGAAGTGAATGCTGGGCCGAATTGGAGTCCCAGCTCGGCTGGTGCCTCTTTCCGAGACTCTGGGCCCTGAGCCTCAGCTTCCCCATCTGCACCTCAAGGGCTCAGACCCGCTGCTCTGCCGTTCTAGCCTCTGATTTTTCTCTGCAAAGGGGAGATAAAGCCCAGAGGGGAAGAAATCCTCTGCTCACCCTGCCCTGGCCCTCCTCTCCCTAGGAGCACGGCATTCCCACAGACATGGGGTACGCAGTGGCGCCCCACCACTCGGGCGTGTACCCTGTGCACGTGCAGCTGTACGAGGCCTGGAAGCAGGTGTGGAACATCCGCGTGACCAGCACGGAGGAGTACCCCCACCTGAAGCCAGCCCGCTACCGCCGCGGCTTCATCCACAACGGCATCATGGTGAGTGTGGCCCAGAGCCTAGGAGGCGGGTATGCACATGCTATCCTGGGAAGCAAGAGTCTGGGGAGCTGGTTAGGGGTTTCAGGCCACTTTCTACTGTCCCCTCTTGTCACCTGAGGCTCTCTATCCCAGGGAAGGAGGACTACCAGTCTGCCTCTTTCGTGAGCTACTCCTATGCTTTTGTGACAGGGGATCAGGAGATGAGCATTCTTTAATGGGCCTCTAGTGAGGCCCTGGGAAAGGCCTCTGTCTCCTCCATTTGTTGGCTTATGTAAAATGTGTGTCTGTCCCTTTTCTACACACTGGGAATACTGAAGTGCACAAAATCAAACGTCCTCACCTTTGTAGACCTGACATTCTAGTGGCAGGAGACAGTGCATTCATAACTCTGTAAAGTATACAGTGGTCAGATGGCATAAATGCTGTGGAGAAAAATCAAGCAGGGAATGGAGACGGGGAGTACTGAGGAGAGCAGAAGCTTAAACAGGATGGTTAGGGAGAGCCTTCCTGGGAATGAGCCATGCTGCTACATGAGGAAGAGCATGCGTGGCAGAGAAAACAAGTGCAAAGGCGCTGAGGCAGGCTTGTGCTGCGTGGTTTTGAGGGCCAACTAAGAGACAAGTATGGCTGGAAGGGAGCAAGTTGGGAGGAGGTGATAGGAGATGAGGTCAGAGGGGTGATTGATGGACCAGATCATGCAGGGCAACATAAGGCCACTGGATGGACTTTAGCTTTTAGTCTGTGATGGGAGGGTTTTGAATGGAGTGCTCTTACCATCTAACTCATATTTTAAGAGGATTTCCATCATTCTGGCTGCTATGAGTTGCAAAGCCTGTAGGGGGCCAAGTGGGGAGCAGGGAGACCAGTTAGGAGGCCGCTGCAGACTTCCCGTTGAGGCATAGTGGCTTGGACCAGGGTGCAGTGCTGGGACGTGATCACATTCTGGACATATTTAGAAGTTACAGCCAACAGGAATTGCTGATGAGTTGGATATAGAGTATGGGAGAGAGAGGTAAGGCAAGGATGACTCCAGGTTTTTGGCCTCAGCCACTGGAGTGGCTAGACGGTTCTCATCAGTCCAGATGGGCAGCTGTGGGAAGACCAGATTCATGCCTGCATCTATCTATCCTCTGACCTCCCAGGCATTCCTACTGACTCTGGGGATGAGGCGGTGACGAGACGGGTGAGTTCTCTGCCCTCCTGGATCGCGTACTAAACAGCTAAACCAGTGTACAATCAAGAGCGCTACGAGGCAGGTTGTAGAGCCAGGAGAGAAGTCACAGAGTGTGCCTGGGAGGAGCTGCTCTAGAGAGGGGCAGGGACCCTCGCTGGGCACCCAGTCCAAGTTTCCAGAAGCAGTCTCACTTGCCTGTCCCTGTTACTTTGGAGTCTGTTCATTTTTTACAGAGGAATATGAAAAGTGTTTACATGTGTAAAATGGAAAGGGCCCCTGGGCTCACTTGGGGGAGTGTCACAGGCTGCAGGTCTTTGGTGGAGCAGACCCCCAAGGGGTGGGGTGTGTGTGGTCACACAAGAGGCTGCCTTTCTGAGGTCAGCTTTCTGGTGACCCTGCTCGTCACCATCCGCGCCTGGAGAAGCCATAGCCCCTCTCTGCCGCCCCATCCTCAGGTCCTCCCGCGGCAGACCTGCGGCCTCTTCACACACACGATCTTCTACAGCGAGTACCCAGGCGGCTCCAGCGAGCTGGACAAGATCATCAACGGGGGCGAACTCTTCCTCACAGTGCTCCTCAACCCTGTGAGTGCTCCACAGCCCTTGGCCGGCGGTGAGGAGGGGCCGGCGGTGAGGAGGGGCCGGCGGTGAGGAGGGGCCAGCGGTGAGGAGGGGCCGCTGTCTCCAGCCGAGGCAGGCCTTCCCAGGCCTGGGGGGAGGGGCAGGAGCAAGTGTGCAGCCAGGAGTAGGGAAACCCGCACTCTAGCCCTGGCCATGTCCCCGCTCCTCTGCGTGACCTTGGTGGAGAGTCTGAGCAGACTTTTTGTCCCTTTTATAATCTTGCACTTCCACACAATAGTGTTGGCCCTTTAAAAAAAAAAAAAAAAAAATCAATTTATTTATTTATTTATTTTTGGCTGCGTTGGGTCTTCGTTGTTGCGCACGGGTTTCCTCTGATTGCAGTGAGCGGGGGCTACTCTTCGTTGCGGTGCGCGGGCTTCTCATCGCGGTGGCTTCTCTTGTTGCGGAACACGGGCTCTAGGTACACGGGCTTTAGTAGTTGCAGCATGCAGGCTCAGTAATTGTGGCTCATGGGCTCTAGAGCACAGGCTCGGTAGTTGTGGCGCACGGGCTTAGTTGCTCCGCGGCATGTGGGATCTTCCCGGACCAGGGCTCGAACCTGTGTCCCCTGCATCAGCAGGCGGACTCTCAACCACTGCGGTGGGATCCTCCCGGACCGGGGCACGAACCCGCATCCCCGGCATCGGCAGGTGGACTCTCAACCACTGCGCCCCCAGGGAAGCCCCCCCCCCCTTTTTTTTAACTTGTTATTTTGTTTGTTTGTTTGTTTATTTTTTTTAATTTTTGAATTTAATTTTTTTTTTTTATACAGCAGGTTCCTATTAGTCTGCGCCACCAGGGAAGTCCATTAGTGTTGGCATTTTTGTCTGTTCTTTTGCCAACCTTTGTGTTTGTGTATAAATATATAAATATTGTATAAATATACATAGTAAACTGAATCTGTTAAGCTATATATTAAACTATATATCTACATAGATAGATAGTTTAAAATGCGCTATATATATAGTTCAGCTGGAAGTTCAGCTGAACTTTCTGGGTCTCTCTTTCCTTATCTGTAAAATGGAAATAATCATCCATGCTTTAATAATATTAGATAGATATCAAGTGGTGGTGTTATCAGCTTTATGGGGTAACCGTATACCCCTTATCTTCCACGCACCCCCTCACCCTCCTGCCAAAAAAGTAGAAAAGAGCACCCATATGACTGCACAGGAGGTCAGCTTCCCCTTTCAGGTGTCAGACCAGATTCACCTGGCTGTACCTAGCCCAAGCTCACACGGTGAGTTTATTGACAGCCCCGGTGAACCTTGGACTGGTCATTGAGCACGGCCCTACAAGCTCAAGCAAGACCAGAGGGTCAGAAGTGGGGGTGAAGGTAGTGAAAGGGGCTCAGAGGCTGACTGGCCCCGCCTCGCATCTTCCCTCCCTGGAGCAGATTAGCATCTTCATGACGCACCTGTCCAACTACGGGAACGACCGCCTGGGCCTGTACACCTTCAAGCACCTGGTGCGTTTCCTGCACTCTTGGACCAACCTCCGGCTGCAGACACTGCCCCCGGTGCAGCTGGCCCAGAAGTACTTCCAGATCTTCTCTGAGGAGAAGGACCCGCTCTGGCAGGTGGGTGGGATGGGTGGCCTGGGCGCCTCATTGCAGGGATGGAAGGCCTACCACCCATGGGCATGCACCCCAGGTATGGTCTCAGGGACTCAGTCCTCATGCTCTCTCAAGTGTAAACTCAGGTGCACACTTGCTCACCAGCGTGGGCATGCTTGCTTGTTCTTGTGCACACTAGACCTTCCATGCAGACCTTTGTGCATGCATACTCACAGCCTCTGAAAAACAGCACCACAGAACTGTAGGTGAACACAGTGTAAACAAGTGTGGAAAGCAGCTGCCCTGCCTGGCATGTACCTTCTCACTCCAGCAGGCTCTGAGCATGGGAAAGGGGACTGATCAGAGGGCTTGGGGGACAGTTCTTGGGGAAGTTGCCCCAGGGCACTGTAAAAAACTGGAAGCAGAAGCTGGAATTGATGGTCTCAGGGGTCCACAAACCATGGCTTGTGAGCCAGTCTGGCCTGCAGTCTGTTTTTGTAAATAAAGTTTTATTGGAACATGGCCACACTCATTCTTGTACGTACCATCTGTGGCTGCTTTCAAGCTACAATAGCAGAGTTGAGTAGTTGCAACAGACCGGATAGTACCCAAGCCTAAAATACAATATTTACCAAACATTTCAAAAGATTTACTAAACTTTATAGAGAAAGTTTGCTGACCTCTTGCTGAACTTTTAAATTCAACAATAGGAGCTCATGAGCCAAGTGTTGTGCTGAGCATTTTACTAGGCTATGTCTGGGAGCATGAGACTGACTAGAAATGGTCGCTGCCTGCCAGCCGTTGAGTGTCCCAAGATGGGGATGTGACAAGGGCACATGCAGTTACACTTGTCATTCAGGGCTGTAAGAGCCACATATCCATGTGCAGTGGGAGTCCAGTGTCCATTCTTGGGCACCCCTGACATCTCTTCCCCTGTTGTTTTAGGATCCCTGTGAAGACAAACGCCATAAAGACATCTGGTCCAAGGAGAAGACGTGTGACCGCTTCCCAAAGCTCCTCATCATTGGCCCCCAGAAAACAGGCAGGTCTCTCCATTCTTGACCAGCCTCCTGCAGTGCCTGCTCTCTCAGCCACAGAATTCTGGGGGCCACCATGCCCTAGTCCCACTCCCCAGTAATCTGCCTCCTCTTTCCCAGGAAGTGAGAGTGAAGCTGGGGTGAACATGAATTGCCCATCAGTGTGGAGGTGGGAAGAGGATAGAGGATGGGCATTGGATTCTCCTATCTGTCCTGAACCACAGCCTCAGGGAGCTCTCCCTGAGTCCCGCTGTGAGTCTCAGAGTAAAATCAGAGAAGCCCAGATCGGCTACTCCGCATGTTGGAGCAGTGCCAGGCAAAACTGGTTCAGAGCAAAGAAGACTGTGATCAATTAGTCATGTCTGCCAGAGGTGCAGGAGGGAGCAGAGGAGAGATGGTTGCTAAGTATTTACCATGCGCACTATATGGCATGGATGGGTACTCCCATGTTACAGACAAAACACTCAAGGCTCAGAGAAGTTAAGTGATTTCCCTAACACATTTAGTTAGGAAATGGCAGATCCAGGCCTGGAACCCTGGTCTCTGTGACCCCAAAACTTATACTCTTGATCACCAAACTCTGTAGTCTCCTTCTCTTCTGGAACCTCTCATTATAGCATATTAACTGTAGACTCGCATGTAGGAAAGGAATGAACTCTCTAAAGGAGGGGGTCGGTCCTGTACTGTCAATTAGGGGAGGGAGTATGAGTGAAGGAAGGGTACCCAAAGAGGAGGCATCTGAGCCAGATTTCTTAGCCCTTCAAGAATTTCATATCAGCACACTGGAGAGTCTGGAACTCCCTTGTCCTTGAGTTCCTCCCAAGTGCCAGAGAGCACAGAGGCCCAGAGCCAGAGGGACCAGCAGAAACCGTCTAATTCCTGGATTATGAGGAGACAGTAATCGAGTGGACATGACTGCTGGAGTACAGTGGTGAGAGGATTCTGAGGCCAAGTCTTCGTTTAGTGATGAAGAATGCTGTGGTGGTTTAGTGACGTCTGCAGTGGATGCAGGAGTTGGCGTGCCCACGTGCAAGCCACGTATTTGCCCATCCTGAGTTTAGTATGATTCCTTCATGGTAGAGATGAGGAAACTAAACCCAGAGAAGGGAAGGGACTTTTCCAGTATCTCCCAGTGAGTAATGGAGAGCCAGGACCAGAACCCAGAATTTCAGACTCCATCTTTGTGTTGGGGTGCTGGGCCCAGGTCTCACCTACCTTCCCTCCCTGCAGGCACCACGGCCCTCTACCTGTTCCTGGGCATGCACCCCGACCTCAGCAGCAACTACCCCAGCTCCGAGACCTTTGAGGAGATCCAGTTTTTTAATGGCCACAACTATCACAAAGGCATCGACTGGTGAGAGCGCCTTTCTGTCAACAGTGGGATGAGATGGTCGCCATGGAGTCTGTCCAGGAGGAGGTCTGCTGTGGCCACAGCAGGAAGCAGCTGGCGCTCGCTTACACACAACTAGTTCCTGTAAACAGGGACAAAACACGGTGACCCCTGAGTCATGATGCTGGAGCCTGGTCACAGATGGGATAGTTGATGAGGAAGCCCTTTGCCCCTTTACATTATTGCCTGGGCTCTGAGAATACTAGACATCAGAGTCCAGCCCCTCCCTCGCCTGCACAGAAACACCCTGAGTCCCAGAGGAGAAGAGGGCCATGCCCGAGGTCCCGAGAGCTGGGGCTGAATGAAATCCAAGGGTTCTGACCCGAAGGCTCGCCCTTCCCACTGTGGATGGCTGACTGTGGAGCAGGATGTGTTCTTGTGAGCCCTTCAGAGGTGGCTTTCTAGCCTTCAGGGAGTCTCCTGGGGAGGTGGTTGAAATTGCAGATTCTCACCAGAACCTGTCACCAGCGGTTGTAACACATGTATTACTCTTGTTTGTTATTTTTATGTCAGTGGTTTACCCGAGAGATCATGGGCATTCTTCTGTTTGTGTTGTGGTATTTTTCTGTGTGTATTTCCATCAGTCTCTTTCTAGCTGTCTGTCTTTCAATTAACCAATCATCTGTCTGTCAATCTACCTGTCTATTTCTTGCTCCAATATTGCCACAGTCTCTTATCTAAAACCCACTGTAGCCAGATGCATTATTGAAAGTCATCTCTTTCCGGATTTAGAGAGACACAGTATATTTAACAGCACCTTCACCAAGGTCTGGGGCAGTGCCCATTAACAAATACATTAATATATCTGTAGCAAAATATGTGAATATTTATGCCAAGTAAGATTCATAAGTCAGGTTTTGCTGCCAAATGTCTTTGCTACAAACTTAGGAAGAAAGCTTCTTTCTCAGAGCTTTCTCCATTTAGATATAACAAACGATGGATTGTGGACGTGAAAATGCTATTTTGTAAAGAAAATTCAGAAATGTGAGAGAGCTAGCAGTTTCTCGGCTCCATTCTCAAGATTTTGATTTTGTTTGTAGGGGTGCAGAAATCTCACAAGCCCCCAGGTGATTCTGATTTCTGATAAAGGGGTCCCTGGGACCACCTAAGAGAAACCCTATCTCACAGGATAAAGTAGGGATCCTACGTCCTTAACTGGGGTAGGCTTTGTGGGTTTTGGTTCCCACAAACCCCTGAAGTTGTACCTCTGTTTTGCCTCAGTGGGTGCTCCTGGGAGGGTCTGGAGTGTTCACTTAGTTTTCTGAGGGGCCCTCAACCTACAGGTGATCTCAAAGGACTGGTGTGGACAGTCACTCTGGGTGGGATGTGGGAGGTTCATCTGGGAAGCTATCAGGTTCACCCGTATGAGGCCGGGGAGGGGGTATGGGTGGCAGCAGGTGAACCCCGTCCCCGCCTTGTCTCCTGGTCCACGGTAGCAGCTTAGAAAGCACCATCAGAGGTCGGTCTGGGGGCAGCAGAGGGCGAGCCTCCCCTCAGTGCTGGCGTCCCCGGGTCAGAGGCATCCCCGCTTGCCCCCTAGCGGCAGTGAGAGTTAGGGCCCTGCCAGTTTCACTCTGGGACCGTCCCATTTGGGATGGAAAGATGCAGCCCTCTTCCCATACCCTGCCACCCATACCACACCCACAAGTCTTCACATCCTCCTGACCCCAGTGTCTCCCCGAAAAAGGAATGAATTCATAAAAGGGAGACTGCCAAGTGACCACTCCGTCTAGGACCCCTGCCAGAAGTGAGTCCTTGTTTGACTGAGAGCCATGTGCCTGCTTGCTTTCTCAAGTTCCATCCCCAGCCACCGTGGTCCTCCCAGCTGCATCCCTCAGGCCCCTTCATCCTGGGTCTTGCCCACGAGCCCTGCTCTCTGGGCTTCCTGCAGGTACATGGAGTTCTTCCCTATCCCCTCCAACACCACCTCTGACTTCTACTTTGAGAAAAGCGCCAACTACTTTGATTCGGAAGTGGCTCCCCGGCGGGCGGCTGCCCTGTTACCCAAGGCCAAGGTCTTGACCATCCTCATCAACCCAGCAGACCGAGCCTATTCCTGGTACCAGGTGAGCCGGGGTGGGGCCCTGGGTGGGGGTACGGGCTCTGTCTACTGCTCAGCCACCAATAAATACCAGCAAATATTTATTTATTTATTTAAATTTTATTTATTTATTTGTGGCTGTGTTGGGTCTTCATTGCGGTGCGCGGGCTTCTCATTGCAGTGGATTCTCTTGTTGCGGAGCACGGGCTCTAGGCGCTTGGCCTTCAGTAGTTGTGGCTCTCGGGCTCTAGAGCACAGGCTCAGTAGTTGTGGCACACGGGCTTAGTTGCTCCGCGGCATGTGGGATCTTCCCGGACCAGGGCTCGAACCCGTGTCCCCTGCCTTGGCAGGCGGATTCTTAACCCCTGGGCCACCAGGGAAGTCCCTCAGCAAATACTTATTTTGCGCCTCCTTTGTGCCAGCCCTCAGTAGGCTCCTGGAATGCCGTGGTGGGTAAGAATGGTCCCGCCTCCACTGCACTTCTAGCCCGGAGGAGAAGCCAGGCAGAAATCCATGTTGAATACCAGCCGAGTTACCTGCTCACCCTCCCAGCTTCGTCTGGGGACCTGCCTCTGACTCTGACACCAACAAGAGGTGGAGGCTGATTCTGTCTTGATGAAGCCTAGATTTGGTGAACAGTGATCTGGGCTCATACTAACTGTGGCCTCCTTGCTGGGCACGGGGTGGGAGGCGGGTGGGAAATCACAGAAGGACAAGACACAGGACCTGCCATTCTTAGTGGAGAATGCAAATGCTCGATCAGGTAAGGAAGTTACGTGGACTGCGGTTTGTGCTAGAGAGTGTGACTCCTAGTTCCTACTTGACTATGTAAGAACTAGAATTTAATTTCAATGACCTGACTTATTTTTTCTGAACGTCATTCCACTGGGCTTACAGGAAAGCTTAGGCTCTGGCCTTTTGGGGGTTTCCTCCCCTGCCTGCCGGTCTTCCTAGGATTATGCCACAGTGCCAGGGTGTGGGGCTTCCTTGTCTAGAGCCGATCCAGGAAGGCCTCTCTAGGTCTGGCCACCCTCTGAGCCTCCTCTCTGGGGCCTCATTGTGGCCACAGGCTGGTAGGAGGCAGGTGCAGACCCTCGTTGCTCCCTGTTCCCACAGACCTCTCTCTCTCCTCTCACTCCCCAAGCCTGGGGACCCTCCTCGTCTGGTGGGCAATCCCTCTCTTCCACTTCCTTCTCCAGGACTTTCTATACCTCAGCATTCTCCTTCCCTCTGGGCTTTGTCTTTGGGGGAATAAAGGCCACTTCTCTTTTCTGCTCTGCTGAGTGTTCCCCACCTCCTGGCAATGAGCAGAGATTGGCTGTCTGCTCTTGTCGGGGGAAGGAAGGAGGAAGGAGAAGGCTGTAGAGGGAAAGCGGCCCTGGCTGAAGTCCGTCCCCATTCTGTTCTCATGCTCCTGCTCTACCTCTTCACCTCATTGGAGTGTCACGGCAGTTTTCTAGAGGGCAGAGGGCTTTGTGCATGTCCCCTCTCACAGATGAGAAGACCAAGGTTCAGCAAGCCAGGTGACTAGCTCAAGTTCATTTGCTGCCATTTTGAACCCAGCTCCTCGAGGTCTAAGACCCTGTTTCTTCTGTCCATGGTCGAGGCGGGATAAGGAGAAGGGGGACTAATTCCTACCAGGAGGATCCAGGAAGGTGCTGGAGGGAGAGGGAGGACAGTGGCCTGCCTCAGAGGGGAAGCTGTTATGCACCATTATGGCACCTCCCCCACCCGAGCTCTGTGTGATCCTCAGTGGAGGTGTAGGGGCTCGTGAGGGTTACCCCGGGTGGACAGGTTCCTGATCTCTGGACTTGGGAATTATGCAGATGCCGCCTGCCCGTGGCATTATTTTAGGTGGTTCAAGCCTGGTGTTTTCCCCTTTCCAATTCTTTCCCAATCCTTCTGTCTTAGACTGCTTGGGCTGCCATTGCCAAATATTATAGGTTGGGTGGCTTAAACAACAGAATTTTTTTCTCACAGTTCTGGAGCCTAGAAGTCTAAGTCCAAGATCAAGGTGACAGTCGGTTTGGTTCCTGGTGAGAGCTCTCTTCCTGGCTTTTAGACAGCCACCTTCTGTGTCCTCACATGGCAGAGCAAACTCTTCGGTGTCTCTTCTTGCAAGGGCACCAATCCCATCACAGGGGTCCCACCCTTATGACTGTATCAGGGCCTGTAGCAGACATTTGTATCTGCCTGGTGTTTGAGAACATTGCTTTATTTTTATTGTATTTATGAATGATTACCTTTATATATGACAACTGATTCTAATTTTCTACTTATGGAGACAGTGTTGAGTTTTATTTTGAAATACATTTACGTGAATAAGAAAGATGATTCAATGTAAAGAAACTTATGTTGACTTGTCACGTACAGGTGGTTTATGGATATGGCAGAAATCACAGAGGTGGTGTGAAGCAACCAGCATTTGGAAGCTCTGATCTAGTCCGACTCCCATCTCTCAAAGATGGGGAAACTAGGGCTCCCAGGGGCTATGACTTCCCTGAAGTCAAAGGGTAATGACAGGTAGAACCAGAACTTGAACCCAGGGCTCCTGGTTCCAGCTCAGGGTCTTCTGGCTGCCTCCTGGTTTTGTGGTCCCACAAAAGCCTCTTCCTTTGGTCCCTCCACATGACATGCTGACCCTCTCTCTCCCCTTGTCTGCAGCACCAGCGAGCCCATGATGACCCAGTAGCCCTGAAGTACACCTTCCACGAGGTGATCACAGCTGCACCCGATGCATCCTTGAAACTGCGCACCCTCCAGAACCGCTGCCTGGTCCCCGGCTGGTATGCCACCCACATTGAGCGCTGGCTCAGCGCCTTTCACGCCAACCAGGTAGCTGCCTGTCCCTGACCCTCGGGAGGGCAATCACAGCCCTGGCTCTGGGCGGTTAGCAGAGAGCCTCAAAATCTCTTTTACCAGTTACAGGGCCAGACATGGTGTCATTGGAGAGTGAGATCGTTGGGGTCTTCAGAGGTTTCAGTCTTGTTTATCCCAAGCCCTTGTCCCATCACAACGGGCTCTTTATCCCTAAGGGGACCCAAAAAGCTCTGGGATAGGCCCCTGGGAGTGAGGGAGACAGGCGTGTGTGACGGAGGGAGAGCCTGGTTGCAGAGGTAGACGGGGCCAGATTGCTGAGGCATTTTAAGGAAACCCTTGGAGGATTTAGGCAGGAGAGTGACATGTGGTCCAAAAACTTGGAGAGAGGCAGAGAGCGGGTGTCATAGGGATATGAGGGGCAGGCAGGGTTTTGCCGATAGCCTAAACCCTAGGAGAGGACGGCATCGGTCAAGAGGAAGCTGGCAGAAAGCAGGGAGTTAGACTGCCCAGGACTGAGGCATGGGGGCACCTCCCGTCCACAGGTGGAGGAAGAAGCAGTCTACAGAGTGTGGGGTCCCCAATTTATAACCATGGCTGCTGACCCAGAAGACTGGGGGCCTGTTTGCCACTGGAGTGAAAACAGGTTCAGATCACACTCTCCTTTTTCTTTTTTTTCCAGATTCTGGTCTTGGATGGCAAACTGCTGCGAACGGAACCTGCCAAAGTGATGGACACAGTGCAAAAGTTCCTTGGGGTGACGAACACCATTGACTACCACAAAACCTTGGCGTGAGTGTTACCTTGGCCTTTCAACGGGGGGATGTCCTGAGCAGGCACCTGGGCCCAAAAGCCAAAGGCTTGAATGATGAGGAGAAAAACACAGATTAGTCAGCAAATGTGAGAAAGTACGCATGTCCCTGACGGCAGTTTAGCAGGAAGGTTACTATGACTTGAGTCATATTAATAAAGATATTGACTCAGGAAAAAGTGAGGTGATGACTCTGTTCTGCTCTGGTCAGTCCTACACCTGGGGTGTTCTTTTCACTCTGGGCTGAACATTTTCAGTGTTTTACCTAAGTAAGTTAGACCAGCAATGAGCAATTCCAGTTCCCACAAGGGTTTCTTATCATTAGATTATGACTTCAGTATAATGTAAGGAAAAAGATACTATAAATATTGTCATTGACTAATCATTCCCATCACTCAAAACCCAGTGCAAGTGCACTGAGAACGCTGTCCCAAGATGGATAAGTGCCAGCCTATGTTGAGGGTCTCAGGGCTGGGGAGAGGCTGTCTCCTAGGGTATATCACAGACAGGTGACACACTCATCTGAATGAGGGAGTCTCAAGAGAAGGAGAAATAGTCACCTTCCCCAGCTACCTTCTTAGGAAAACCCTTCAGCAAGAATATTCCCTTCTCCTTACTTTGGAAGTTGAAAACGGAAGGTGGAAAACGGTAGTCAGTCCTTCCCTTTGAGGGTAGAAAGGAGCAGCAGCTTCAGGTATGGCTGTGGCAGTAGAGATGCCTCGGTTAGGATCCCAGACATCTTCTTTAACTGTGGGCCTTGGACACGTGTCTTAGTTCCTTCAAGCCTCACTTTCCTTCTCCGTAAGTTGGGGATAAAGGTAATAATTCCTACCTCCGGAGGGTCACTGTCTTAAATGAAAGCATGTGGGTGGGGCTCTTGGCTCAGTGCCCGGGATGTACTAATCTCAGTAAATGATAGCTACTCTCATCATCATCATCATCATCACCGCCACCATTACCATCCCATGTGCCTACCCTGGGACCCATTCAAAAATCCCTGTCTCCCTCTCCTGCCAAATGTGAACTCCGTTTTCCTTCTGTCCTCGTGCCCAAGAACCTCCTAACGGTTCCTGATCTGGGATTGAATTCTGATGCCATTATGCCTCTCCTCCCCATGACAGTATCAGACCTCCTCTCCCCAAAATACCTTTGAAGGTCCAGCATGACTTCAATTCTGAAGGCAGTCTTGCTCTATCATTTCTGAAATTTATTTTAAAAAAAACTAAAACAAAACAACTTTCCAGTGATGCACATGCTTAAATGCAACTGTAGATACAGCATTTCTTGATAGACATTGAATTTATTAAAAAGCAAAAGAACCTCCACTAAACTTTTTTCCCCCTACTGGGTTCTCACCCCAGAGTTGGAGAGTGCTAAGAGGATCCCCAGAATAAGGAAGGGTGGGAAGTGTTCATGTTAGGGACTTGCTGCAGGAACTGAGCCTGCCCAGTCAGGAGAAGAGAGATCTCAGAGCGTGCGGCCTGCCTTCTGCTGGGAAGAGGGGGCAGGTGTGTTTAGTGGAGCCCAGAGCCAAAGCTTGGGCAAACAGATGCAAATATCAGTCCCACAAACCAGAGTGTGCCTATGGGAGTGGATCCTGTGATTTTCTAGGAGGCTCTGCCATCCCTGAGGTCTGTGAACATTGCCTGAAGTGGGAAGGGGCTGGGCTCGGCCGGGCCAGCTCCCATCCACAGGCTTTCCCCACCTTCACAGCTTTGATCCAAAGAAAGGATTTTGGTGCCAGCTGCTGGAAGGAGGAAAAACCAAGTGTCTAGGCAAAAGCAAGGGCCGGAAATACCCAGAGATGGACTTGGATGTAAGTAGCAGACCTGCTGCCTGCGGCAGGGGAATAAATGTCGGGGGTTCCTGTACTGGAGGGAGTCTTCTCTTTACCTGACACCCAGCACTCAATGGCCTTGGCATTTCTTGGGCGGTGTTCTTAACAGGAGGAAATGTGGGCTAGGGGATATAGTGGATCAGAATTGATTTAGTCAAATGAGTATTTCTTCTACAAGGGCTGAATGCTCTGGGGCTTTGAGAATGAATCAGACCTGTCCTTTGCCTTCAAGGAGCTCCTAGTCTAGGAGGGAAATGAGTCACATGTGCCAATAGGTAGAATACAAGGGAGGAAGTGTTTTGTGTGGTTAGGTATGAACAAGTGCTGTGAGACTTCAGAACAAGGACATGCCACTTGAAGTTGGATGGGTAAGAAGGCTTCTCAGATGAGGTGGGGGGGTGGGGGGGGTGTCTCTCGAGTTGGGCCTGGAAGGATGGGGTGGTATTTGGACCTATGGCATGGAAGGATAAGGCATTCTTGTAGGAGAGGATGGCATGTATAAGGATATAGGGGAAAGGGCACACACTGTGACTCTGGTTACATTTCCCTTTTTTTCCCATTACCCCTTGATAATTTTTTAAAAACTGAAGTATAGTTGATTTATAATATTGTGGTAGTTTCAGGTGCACAGCAAAGTGATTCAGTGATATATATATATATATATTTTTTTTTCAGATTATTTTCCATTATTGGTTATTACAAGATACTGAATATTGTTCCCTGTGGTATACAGTAAATTCTTGTTGCTTATCTGTTTTATATATAGCAGTATACCTGTTAATCCCATACTCCTAATTTGTCCCTCTCCCCTCCCTTTCCCCTTCGGTAACCATAAGTTTGTTTTCTGAGTCTGTTTTGTAAATAGATTTATTCTTTAGATTCCACGTATAAGTGATATCATATGGTATTTGTCTTTCTCTGTCTGACTTCACTTAGTATGATATTCTCTAGGTCCATCCACATTGCTGCAAATGGCAATATTTCATTCTTTTTTATGGCTGAGTAATATTTTATGGTGTATATATATATATATATATATATATATATATATATACCACATCTTCTTTATCTGTTCATCTGTTGATGGACACTTAGGTTGCTTCCACATCTTGACTATTGTAAATAGTGCTGCTATGAAATTGGGGTGCATGTATCTTTTCAAATTAGAGTTTTTGTCTTTTCTGGATATATGCCCAGGAGGAGGATTGTTGGATCATGTTGTACAGATCTAGTTTTAGTTTTTTAAGGAACTTCCATACTGTTCTCCACAGTGGTTGCACCAATTTACATTCCCACCAACAGTGTTGGAGGGTTCCCTTTTCTCCACACCCTCTCCAGCATTTGTCATTTGTAGATATTTTAATGATGGCCATTTTGACTGGTGTGAGGGGCTGTCTCATTGTAGTTTTGATTTGCATTTCTCTAATAATTAGCAATGTTGAGCATCTTTACATGTGCCTCTGGCCATCTGTGTGTCTTCTTTGGAGAAACGTCTGTTTATGTCTTCTGCCCAGTTTTTGATTGGGTTGTTTTGATACTGAGCCGCACGGGCTGTCTATATATTTTGGAGATTAATCCCTTGTTGGTTGCTTCATTTGCAAATATTGTCTCCTATTCTGAGGGTTGTCTTTTTGTTTTGTTTATGGTTTCACTTGCTGTGCAAAAGCTTTTAATTAGTTCCCATTTGTTCATTTTTGGTTTTATTTTCATTACTCTAGGAGGTGGGTCATACAAGATCTTGCTACGATTTATGTCAGAGAGTGTTCTGCCTATGTTTTCCTCTAAGAGTTTGATGGTATCCGGCCTTACATCTAGGTATTTCATTCTTTTTGATGCGATGGTAAATGGGATTGTTTCCTTAATTCCTCTTTCTGATCTTGCATTGTTTGTTAGTGTATAGGAATGTAAGAGATTTCTGTGTATTAATTTTGTATCCTGCAACTTTATCGAATTCATTGATGAGGTCTAGTAGTTTTCTGGTAGCATCTTTAGGATTTTCTGTGTATAGTATCATGTCATCTGCAAACAGTAACAGTTTTCTTTTCCAATTTGGATTCCTTTTATTTCTTCTTTTTCTCTAATTGCCGTGGCTAGGACTTCTAAAAACTATGTTGAATAAAAATGGTGAGAGTGGACATCACTGTCTTGTTCCTGATCTTAGAGGAAATGCTTTCAGCTTTTCACCACTTGAGAATGATGTTAGCTGTAGGTTTTTCATATACGGACTTTATTATGTTAAGGTAGGTTCCTTCTATGCCCACTTTCTGGAGAGTTTTTAATCATAAATGGGTGTTGCATTTTGTCAGAAGCTTTCTCTGCATCTATTGAGATGATCATATGGTTTTTATTCTTCAAGTTGTTAATATGGTGTATCACATTGATTGATTTGCAGATATTGAAAAATCCTTGCATCCCTGGGATAAATCCCACTTGATCATGCTCCTTTAAATGTATTGTTGGATTCAGTTTGCTAGTATTTTGTTGAGGATAAAGATCAGAGCAGAAATAAATGAAATAGAGATAAAAACAATAAAACAAAATTGATAAACCTTTAGCCAGACTCACCAAGAAAAAAAGGAGGGCTTCCCTGGTGGTGCAGTGGTTAAGAATCCACCTGCCAATGCAGGGGACATGGGTTCAAGCCCTGGTCCGGGAAAGTCCCACATGCTGCAGACCAACAAAGCCCGTGCTCTGCAGCTACTGAAGCCCAGGCACCTAGAGCTAGTGCTCTGCAACAAGAGAAGCCACCGCCGTGAGAAGCCCGCGCACCACAATAAAGAGTAGCCCCTGCTTGCCACAACTAGAGACAGCCCCGTGCACAGCAACGAAGACCCAACACAGCCAAAAATAAAATAAAATAAAGTTTTTTTTAAAAACGAGGACTCAAATCAATAAAATTAGAAATGAGAAAGGAGACATAACAACTGACACCAAAGGATCATAAGAGACTACGACAAGCACCTATATGCCAATAAAATGGACAACGTAGAAAAAATGGACAAATTCTTAGTAAGGTACAATCTTCCAAGACTGAACCAGAAAGAAGTAGAAAATATGATCCGACTACTAATCACAAATACTGAAATTGAAACTGTGATTAAAAATCTTCCAAACAAACAAAAGTCCAGGACCAGATGGCTTCACAGGCGAATTCTATCAAACACTTAGAGAAGAGCTAACACCTGTCCTTCTCAAACTCCTCCAAAATACAGCAGAGGGGGGAACACTCCCAAACTCATTCTACGAGGCCACCATCACCCTGATACCAAAACCAGACAAAGATACCACAAAAAAAGGAAATTACAGGCCAGTATCACTAGTGAACATAGATGCAAAAATCCTCAACAAAATACTGTTTCCCTTTTCTTGTTTGCCCCTGGTTTTAATTCTCTCCCTCCTCCCTATCAATCACAAGAATTTTGACCTTGTGTGCTGTATTTTGGTGCTCCTACTCTATGAGTTTTCTTTTGAAGGTTGTGATTTTGAAGAAGATTGTGAATAAATAATGGGAGTGTGGGATGATGTCAACAGAATGGTGGTCTTAAAGAAGGGGGGGGGGTCACTCTTGAGTCAGCACGTGACCAAGATCTGAGCTTTCCTTCCTGTTACAGTCCCGCGCCTTCCTGAAGGACTATTACCGGGACCACAACATCGAGCTTTCCAAGCTGCTGTACAAGATGGGCCAGACACTGCCCACCTGGCTACGGGAGGAGCTCCAGAACACCAGGTAGCCACGGCCACCACAGCCAGACTGAATGTGACGGCAGGGACATCCCGCCACACGCTGAGCCAGACTGACCTGCAGAGTGGGGAGCTGGGCCCGGGCTGGCCAAGTACTTACAAGCAATACTCTGCTACAGCCCAGGCAGGGCCACACGCGCCTCAGAGCGTCCAGTGCTGGGTTGGTGGCCTCTAGGACCTCCTTCGCCAACCAGGGTCCATTCTGCTCATCGTTTTTCATGGGGAGGCCACTTCCTGTTGGTGGAAGACCACAAGCTGGTAGGAAGCAGTCCACAAGACTCTGTTTTCCGTCCCTGTGTTCTACCCACCCTACCCTCTCCATCCCATCACTCCCTGCTCCAGTAGGGTGTCCACTCAGTAGCAGCTGCCCTATTTTCCCTGTCCTCCAGACAACGAGGAGAAGAGCCCAGCTGGGGCTTTTGCCAAACCAGGGAGAGAGAGTGGACGTTGCCGTGAGGGTTCAAGCCAGGCTCTTCAGAGGGGTCAGCTGGGAACCCAGAGGTGGTCCCTAGGCTGGGTGTGAGCGTGTCCAGCTCGAGAGAACGCTGGACCTCCACACCCATTCTGCTTCATACCTTCCCATCTCACCTTCCCTCTTTAGAGGAAGAATCGCTGGTTCCTACAGTACCCACCCAGTCCTAAAGGCCTCCTTCAGGGCCCTGGGGCACTGCCACGCATTTGGACCCAGAGACCCAGGCCTCAACCCTACCCCGGTTCGTCCCCCTGGGATATGACATGTGTGGTGTTTCCTGTGGTAAAGGACTGAGGCGGTCGTGGAGTCGGCCGTATACATGTCCCAGTGTACATATCTTGTCCCTAAGCCCACCTGGCCTTGGCAGACTTGATGAGACCACCATCCCTGCTCTGCGCCAGCTGCCTGTGGCCAAGGGTTTCTAGAGAGCCCCTTAACCTCCCAAATACTAAGAAGCTAAAGTATTTTTCTTGGTGCCAGAGTTTATACCCTGGGTGCTGGGGTCGCACTGTGTTACATATATATATATATATATATATATATAACATGTGTATATATATATATACACATATATATATATTATATATATATAATATATATATATATATTATATTTTTTTTGGTTGGGTTTGTTTTTAATTCAGTCGTACAAAATGGTGGCAAGCCCCAGTCCCAAAGGGCATCATATCTCAGTGCTAGAGAATGGGATGGAAGGGCGTGGGGTGGGGGCCGTATTCATGTGTGGAGGCCTCAAGGACACAGTATGGAAGTGCCCTGGGAGAGGTCAAGTGCCATGGCCGCCCCGGGGCTGCCCCAGGTGAACAGGTGGCGAGATGCATAAGGAAGACCTCTTTCCAGGAGCTCTGGCTTCATGAAGCGCGGTGACCCTGGGGCACTTTTGGCCAAAGGAAACAGCCAGGCTGGGGTAGGAGACCCCGGGGCTTAAAGGCTGGCCTGTTCCCCTTCCCCTCACATGGTGCTAGGTTGCGAGCTGCCCTGGGAGCCACAGAACTGTCTCCAGGCCCCCTGCTGACAAGGGGGGGCGGTCTCTGGGCTATTTTCTGGTTGGGGCCTGCTCCTACCCACCCCTCCCGCCCCCATCATCTTTTAACAATGTGAACTGACTAAGGCTGGGGTGCCTTTCCCCAGCCCCTCCCACTGCCAGTTCAGCCACCGCCAGTTCAGCTTTGAACTGACACCTGGGAAATCCTTTCTGGAGAGCCTTGTCTTATTCAGAAGACTCTACCATGTTGGGGCTGAAGGGTCCTTCAACGGGTGTGGACACAGGTCCAGAAACGGGAGGTGGCCTCCGGGGCTGATGTCACAGAACCGACTGGGAGCAGGGCCAAGAGTTGAACTCGAGGCTCCCAATTCCGAGCCCAGTGCTCTTCTTCCAATGCCACACTGCCTCTGAGCCCGTCCTTGGGACCCTACTCTGTGCCAGGTTGCTGTCCCTCCTTTAGTCACGCCCTTGGTCATTCCAGGATATGGGGACAAACCACTCCTTCCCAGCCAGGGTGCCTTTGAGCCTTCTCAGTTCCAGATGTGCATTTGCATCCCTGTCGTGCTCTCCCCACCTCAACAGGTTCTTTCCCAGCCTGGGAGCCTGGGTCTTAGTTCCCAGGGTCTCCACTGGGATAGAGAAGTGGACTGTCCTACGGGGCCAGCTGCATCTGGCTCCACTGCCTCCTGAGTGAAGCGTTTCCATCATGCTTCTCATTGGGGCCTTAGAACCTGGGAACCCTGGTTGCTGCTAACCCTGCAGGGGATGAGAAGCAGAGTGTCTGAGGACAGGGTGGCATGTCTGCGCGTACGCTTGTGAAGACTTACCTGCACCAGGAACCAGACTCTCAGAGCGGGCAGCGGCTTCCATAGTGCAAAACCTGGGCCTCACTTCCCATCTGTCAGCGCGGGGCTCTGCTCCATGACCCGTGAGGACGTCACAGCTCCCACCATCTGAGATCTTCCCTCTGGGCCTGGACACCTGGGCAGGCTGCCCGGAGCCTGTCCTCGTGGGGCGGGCAGGTCCGCTCCCCTCGTCCTCTGGCCTGAGGAAGAAACAGGCAGGTTTGAGGCCCTGTGGTAGCAGAGGAAATGCTGGAGACTTTTGTCCAGGCCCTTCTGGGAGGCTGGGGACTTGACCTGCCACATGTTCTCAGTCTGTCTTGTCACTGCTACTTTTTCCCTTCCCACTAACGAATCTCTCTCGAGAACCCACTTCCAGGACCAGTAGGTACTGGGAAGGGGAGAGAAGTCCCTCGAGGTTCTCTCAGCTGCTGAGCACACAGATACCCCCCGCCCCACGAGAGGAGAAAACCAGAGGTCAGTGGGTGTAGTATCCTCAGCATCTTCCATGTTTACTAAGTCACTGGCCAAAAAACAAGAAAAAAACCCCTACCATCCCTTCTGCCATCTCCTCCACACACCTGTGCCTCAAGCTCGGTGCAGGTGGGATGTGCAGCTGCCTCCGTCACTTGGGGCTCTAGAGCTGCCCACAGTGCGGGCATCTTGCGCCTGGAGAAGGAGTCTGAGGTTTAAAGACTGGTCTCTTTCGAGCCCCTGAGTAGGAGCAGCCGGTGCCTCTGGGGCCCAGCTGAGGGAGCAGTGGTCTGTTCCCAGTAGAAGAATACTGCTAGGTTGACTCGCAGAGATTGCTGGTCCCAACATCGAGCTGTCCCCACAGGTTTGTTAGGAGAAACAGCAAGTAAGTAAGTAACTGTTGTACCAAATTATTTTATAATGAGCTCCCACTGCCCGCCATTCAGACTTAAAATTACTGTTTTGCCCCATTTTAATCTTTCCTTCCGTACAAGCATATTTTTTCTGAACTAGTTTAAAAGTTGCAAATATAAGGAGACTCCGCCCCAAATGCATCAGCCTGCATCTCGGAAGAGTCAGGACAGTCTCCTACAATTGGCCCCGTATCACACCCAGTGTCACAACAGTAATTTCCCCGCAACATCTGCTAATCAATCCATATTCACAGTTCTCCCAAATAACTTACACCTGGTTTTGGAATCGGGAACTAGTTAAGGTACACATGTTGCATCGAACTATGTTTTCTACAATCTCTTTCAAGTCAGTAAACTTTCCCTTCTGCTCACTCTGGTTGTTTGAATGACATTATTTCGGAGGCTAGCAGGCTGCTGTCTTACAGAAGTCCCTCCCACATGCTGGATTTGTCTGTTTCTTCACGGTGTCATAGAACACGTTCCTCTAACCCCTGTATTGGCAAAAGGGTACCTTTTGTGCTGACCTGAAAAAACTTCAGTCTATCCTAAGATGCCCCTCTGCTGTCACCTGTACCAAGTGCCAAATCAGCAGAGGGGCCAGCCAGAGCTGGAAAGGGCGAGGGAGGAAGCATCACAGCCGCGCCTGGGAGGGTCTAGAAAGAAGAGGCTGGACCACGCAGGGTGGGCCTGTTGGGAATGAGACATCCCGGACGCAGAAGATCCTGTGCTGCCCCCTTTGCTCCTGGTGATGGAGCACAGGGCACCAAAGAGCATCTCTCTCTCTCTCTCTCTCTCTCTGTTTTGTGGTCTCTGGGCTTTCATTTCCTGGAGGCCCGTGGTCTGTGTGCACTGGAGCAGAGCCAGCCCCTGGGATGCACCAAAGAAGGGCTCTGCGGGGGCGCTGCCCCACCCAAGCTGCGGTTTCGAGAAGAGCACTGGGCTGGAGGCAGGAGATGTGACATTTTGTCCCAATTGAGTACACTGAGTAGCTGAGTGACAGTCTTCCTCCCAGGGACTCAATTTCCCCATCTAGAATGAGCAGATGGGCCTACAGCGTGGATTTTCAGACGTCAAAGAAGGAAGCAGGTCTGCTCTAGTGGAAGTGAGGATGGAGGTCCCAGGCCCCCCTCACCGCTGCCCACGGGGCACTGCTGGGTCCCCAGGCTGCTCGCCCGGGGCTGCCTGCCCCCAGAGGCTTCCCCTCGCCAGCTCAGACAGCCAGAGACATTTTTTAGTTCCCACAAGGGAGAGGCATGGGCTTTGCGTGGGGTCAGTGTCAAGGGCCTATGGGGGGGACTCTGGCTGTGTTTTATCCTAATAAGTTCACCCCTCCCTCTCTCCTTCCTCTCTGTGGCCCTTGAGGAGAATGAGGGCCGAGAGGGTTTTCTATGACTGTGCTAATAGCTTTTATTATCAGCAAGAGGGCTCCTTTTGTAATTTGTGCATGAAATTCATGTCATTTCCTGGGGAGAGGAGAGGGTGCGGGGCACGTTAGGGGAGCAGGCAGAGGTTTCCTTCCCTTGTGGGAGTGCGGAGAGGAGTAGCGAGGGGGGCGCTACCCCGCTCACCTGGTCAGGGCTCTCAAACCAGCCGTTTTGGGCTGTGTTAAAAGTGGGAACCTTCCCTCCATTAATGTACAATCTTGAACTAACTGCTAATAAAGTGGGGTTCTGTTTGTACACGTTGGTCATGTCTGTCCGTCTGTCTGACGTTTTTGCAAGGCCCGCAGGGGAGGGTGGGAAGAAGGGTGTTCACGTGCACGGCCAGTGTGGCCGCCCCCGTACACACGACGTGACTGTCAAAGATCAATTCAACGGATTGTAAAGTGAAGCTTTTCTAGACAGCAGAGGCCTGTCCCAGGACAGCCGGTGGCGG